CATAGCAAGTCTCAATAATGTGGTTGTTTCTGTTACAATGTGTACAGAATCGTGCAGTATTTTGTCCTCTTCCTCCACTGTAACGACCACGTCCTCTATATCCTCTTCCATTATTGAAATAATTGTTCCTTCTTGACTGATCTCCCATTGCTGCAAGAGTTTGATGACTATTTGTGAAATTCAGATTGCCTTCAGACTGCATCTGACGTTCTTGTTGTATCACCAGAGAAAAAGCCTTTGCTACACTCGGTAATGGATCTATCAGCATTATCTGTGACCTTACATGAGAGTACTGATCATTAAGGCCACGAAGAAATCTTACAGTTTGATCGTTCTCACGATACTGACGCATTTTTGCTATTGTTCCACATGTACATGGAGCTATTGGAGTGGGAATTGGCTTCAAATTCTCCAGTTCTTCCCACATTGTTTTCAACATAGTGAAATACTCACTAACATTCTTTTCTCCTTGACACAACTTATACAAGTCTTCTTGTAAATCACACATACGAAATACATCCGATTGAGAAAATCGGTGTTTCAAATCATGCCATGCATCTGAGGCCTTTTCAATCCATAATATGGACTGAGCAATATTCTGTGTAATCGATCTATGGATCCATCCAAGAACTATGGTATTGCATCGATCCCAAGCTTCAAATGTGGGATCATCAAAGGACGGTGGAGGAAGGTTTCCATTAATAAAACCAAGTTTATTTTTAGATTTAAGAGCCATTGTCATGGCTCGACACCATGCATGATAGTTAGATCCATTCAGTGGAGGAGTGACCAACACCTGAGATGGATTTTCACTTGCATGCAAGAAAAGATGATGAGATGGATTCGTCAAGAACTCAGGAAGAGAAGATTGACTCACCAAAGGAGGTTGATTCAATTGAGGAGGTTGATTCAACACAGGAGGTTGATCCATTACTGGTGGCTGATCTATTACAACCAAGGAAATCGAAAGCAAGGAAAGATCAAAAGAAAAAGAAGCAGAGTATCAGAGCTCAAGCTCTGATACCATCTAGAGAATCAGATAACAGAGAGAATCGATCTATGAAAATGGAATTCATTTTCTTGAATGAGTTAGTTCAATTTACATGTACAGCTACCATATATATTAGATACAAGTGTGCAATATCTTAACAGAAAGATAAATGCGGTTATGCCAGCACGTGGCTTTCTAACAAACTCCTAACCAAGTGAGCTGTCAGCATTTCTATCATGATTAGTAGCATTGAACCATTTATCTGATATTGAGTGTATGGAAACATTGGAAGCATTGAGCTCTTGTTGAATGGGCTCATGTTGAATGGGTTGTAAGCCTGCATCGTGTAATAGTTTCTGTTGTTATTTTCCACACACAAAAAGATTTATGCTGATAATTCATTTATTAAAAATATTAAATTAATCCATTATTAAAAATACAAACTTTGTCTATTTTAAAAACCAGAACAAACCATTAAACTTACAATGAAATTATAGGTCAAGTTGGTGTGTCAGATTTGTCAACCATCATTATCTTGTAAGAATTAACTTAATATTTTTAAAGACTAATTAATTTGGTGATATAAATTGATATTCATGACACATTTTTAAAAGAGTGAGATAAACATTAACTCTAGCATTAGCAACGCAGCTACAAAATGTCCTTATCATATTGTCAAATATAATTATGACAAGTCTATTTCACCGATATATTTAATTTGAAAAAAAAAAACGAGTCTGTTCCATTTGTAATTACACAGTTACACTGAATCCAGCATAAAAATCCATTGAGCTAGGGTCATACTAATTTGTTTTCTATAGAAAACTCCGTGCTGATTAGTGATTACGGTAACCATGATGTCATGGGGAAAAAATTGCTTTAATTATTTTTCCAACTTTAGTTCATTATGTTCACTGGTTTTCAACCTAGACGGTTTAGTTTCCAACCCAAAGGGAGTTAATTAAGAAGGTTGAATTTACTTATCAGTGACCGTATAATTTGTAAAATAAAAGGCCTAGAAAAATTTTCTAAGCTTGTATATATTCACTATTTTTTTATTTTTTTTTTGATAACATATATTCACTATTTTGTTCGCCATAAGTTGTGAGATATACTACATTTCTCCCGCAAGAAATACTGTAATAAAGACTTGACTTTCATCTCTATAGCAATATTATAATTTATCACTAATGAAACGAATGCCTCAACCTGCTACACATAAGTGGGAAAGTTAATTACTAAAAAATATCATAACAAAATTAACAAAATTCATATACACTTCAATTGCCTATAAGAGGTAATTTCCATAAAGGCGGTATTATATACATACAGTCATAAATATATTCATATCTTACGTGCAGTTTGAAAATTGAAATTCACACATAAATATAAATGTGTTCACTATGATTCCTTCTTTACCCTTCCTTGTTTCTTGATTCTTTCCTTTCTTTTTTCTCCTGAGGGAGCGTTTGGTTCAAGAGAAATTTTTTGAATACTAAAAAAAATATAATTACTAAGAAAATGGTGGGAAAGTAAGTTTGGTAGGAAAATATTAAAAAAGTTGTTTGATTGAAAAAAAAAATTTACCGAAAAAATTAGGTAAAATTTATAAAGTCTATATTTGGTTGGAAGTAAAATATTAATGGAAAAATGAGTTGCAATTACCAAAACAACCTTTTTATAAAATTTTTGAATTACCAAATAACCCTTTACCCGTAATATTGAAAAGTGAGTTGTTAGTCTGCAATTAGATTTGGTAGCAGATATCACTTTCTGCAATTAGATTAGGTTTCTGCAATTAGATTAGGTGAAGATATGTTCGTCAGAAAATTGTTACTTTTTGAAACATTTAGCTAGACAACTCGAAATATCTGCTCTGAAGTGGGATGGTGTTACATGTCTATTTTGTGCAATTTATATGCAAACATGGATGGATGGAGAAATAATTTTGGTTGAAAAATATTGTAATCTGGTCAGCCAAACATGATATAACGAGATTTTCAAATTACCAATGTCTATCTATCTTAAGAGATAGCTCGTACCAAACACAGCCTCAAAGACATCCTCAGAGTTTACTTAAGTTTAATTATGAGTTTAAATTTACTTTTTACATTATCATTCAATGGTGTGTTAGCACACATTATTAAAAAGAGTTAAACTTCTTACGTAGTAGTTATGATAGTCAGCATTTTTTGAGAAAATTAAATCTTTTCATTTTTACATTGTATCAACAAATAAATTAATATTTTGTTATTTTCCTCCATTTATTTTTTTTTTGAAATTTGAAGTCAACATAAAATTGTCGGAACAAAATAGTATTTCCCTAAGCCGGGTAGTACGGACAAAACGTTTTTATTTTTTTCTGAAGGAGGAATTAAAAAAGTGCAATTTTTTTATTTTTTATTTTAATTTGACTAGTTAACTTGCGCACGCTTAATGGGCAGGCACCGTGTCTGTGTTGTTGAAGATATCCAATGTCTTTATTTTTTTTAACTCACTCGTTCTAACCAACTGAAAAAGTAACGCGTGCTTTTTGTCGTTATCTTTAGGTCTATTTCAGTATTTTGGCCATTTTTTTTAGAAGTCGTTTCAATTAGCCAATTATACTTAGTAGCGGAAGCCAAACTTGACTGATGTCAAACAAACAAAATAATTGGTTTTTATTTGTAAAAGCATTGAGTTATTATACATACGTATAAGAAATAATGAGATTTGCTGAAATTATAATCATCATCCATTATTTTAAAAAAGGGAAAATTTTATTTTCACCCATTGTGATTTTGTGATTTATTATTTGACCTCCTTTGATTTTAAACTTATTACTTAGACTCATTGTGTTTAAATAATTTACCATTTAACCCCTCGTGGTTTCAAACTTTCACTTAGACACTTTGTGATTAGAAAGTTTTGCACTTAGACTACTTGTGGTTACAAAAATAAAAATTTTAAAAAATAAATATTTAAAATAAATATTCTCTCTTTTATTTTATATCCTCGCCTAATGCATTTGGGGTTTAAAAAATAAAAATAAATTTTTAAAAAATTCACCTATTTTTATCAAAAAAAAAAATTCAAATCAAATATTATTTTATTTTGCCCGATATCGTTACAAAATTATATAAAGAAAGTAAATATCTTATTTTGATAATACATATTTAATTATCTTAAATAATATTTTTTTAGTTTCAAATATATTTAAAAAATTAAGATAATTTATAAATTAATTTCAGAATAAATAACTTGAAATATTTTTTAAACCATAAATGCATTACATGAGGATATAAAATAAAAAAGAGAAAAAATTTATTTTAAATATCTTTTTTTAAACCACAAGGTATTTAAGTGAAAATTCAAAACCATAGAGTTAAATGACAAAATATCTAAGCACAATGGGTCTAACTGATAAATTTAAAATCACAAGAGATCAAATAATAAACCACAAAATCACAATGGGTTGAAAATAAAATTTTACCTTTAAAAAATCACTCTAACCTCCTTGTTTTACACATATAGAGGGGCTGTGTGTTTTTGAAAAAAAGAAAAAAGTCGTGTCTATAATCTTTTTTCTTACAGAAATTTGAAGACACCGATGTAAAATGTAAAATGACGTAAAAGCTGGTATAGTTGGTATAAATCTCAAACCTGAGGAATATTCAGCGTAGTACAATTTGCACTCTTCGTGTGGATTGGGACAAACATGGTAATCATTGTACACGTTCAATGTCAGAACACATTGAACACTTTCTTATTTTATATAATTTCAGGAAACAAGTTACTTTGAAGCAACAACAAGCATTTCCTTATTCATATGACAGTCCACTGCGTTATTTTAACAAATGATTTTCCATAATTTCTATGTGTAATTTTTGGTGGGAGAGTGCCCCTCACCACACGATAACCTAATATGTTCCCGCAATATTTCAAATATTCTGTTGTCATTTCAAAAAATAAAAAGATATATACACCTCAACATTAACATTAGTTTGTAATATTAGAATTTTCATTTGGCATACACGTTGCATTCCGTCCAGCATAACTTGCTCAAACACATTTCTCATACGTCCAACAACGAGAAAATATCTACGCTGGATGTGAAAATCAAAATGAATCGACTTCAAAAAACAAACGAAAATCTCATTCAGATCTATAGGGATGCAGGATTCTGATATTAATAATATAGTAAAAAGTTGGCCGAATTTGGTAGCTGCTTTTTCGGCTCTTGGACAAGCCCTTAATTAGGTAATGTCATGAAACTAACTGGCAGCTCTGCTGCTTCCACTATGTTTTCAGAATCTTCATTACTATAAGGACGAGAAACCCAATACCTGTCCAATATCTGCAATGGGAGTCACAAGCTATTAGTAGAGTTCACAGTGGTTTCACAAGCCACGGCAAGCACAAAACCTAAGAAACTTACAGGGAATGAAGAAAGTAAAAATGTAAAATTACTCACCAAGATATCATTCTCTTTCAATTATTTATTTTCCCCCATCAATCATCATAATCAATATTTTCATCATCCTTCATGTACTTCTCTTGTACTGCTGCAACTGTAGCTTGCTGAGTTAAAGGAAGCTCATAATTGAATATATTAAGGCATGATTAAGACGAGCATGGTTATCAGAACACTATCTAATTCGCAACTCAAAATGCAACTTAAAGACTACTGTTCTTTTCCCTTTCAGTTTCCGTCACCTGGGTGAGCATCTTTGCAGCATCATTGAAGACTTGGATTGGCCCAAGTGATTAACTTAAACCAAAACATTTAACGGGGAACAAATATTCATGAGATTTGAAATCAATAATGCAACAATATATTCTTCTAATGGGCTTACAGCAACATCACGATAATTTTATATCAGATTAAACATATACGCAATGGACCTTTTTATTTATACCCTCAAGAGGATGGACTTCTAAAATTTGATTGAGAAATAAGGGAAAAGCACAGCCACATACCTGAACATTGTTACAGAGCTCTTTAGGATGTTCAAAAGACTAACAGATTGGTACATGTAATGCTCCCATGAACAACTTTAAACCACTACCCATTAAATCTCGACTAACGAGGGTAAAGATGAGGACAATCTTTGTACATAGTCTTACCCATTGTATATTTGCAAACAGGAGGCTTCCCAGTATCGAACACGTGACCTCTCAGTCACAAAGGAGCAAACTCCCATGAACAACTGATTTAAAAAATAGGACCATCTTTCCTCCAACAAAAATATTTTCCAAAGAGGTTTTTTATAAATCCTGCAAGTTTCAACGTGTCATTTCCACCTACTAATGCAAGGAATTAGGAGTCCACAATAATTTAGTTGATATTTTCCCAAAGAAAAGGCAACTATTTTGTTTATAGTACTAAATCATCATCACTGTTGTTACTAGAGGCAAACCAAGAAGCAGTTAAAAACAGAATATGCATGGAAAGCAAGATTCTCCTGTACAGATTGAAAGTGCTGAACAATAATAGCTGTGTTATGCAAATTGCAAGTAATGATATTTTCCGCAGTTATTTATCTCAAGGTAAAAGATAAATGAATCTGCATAGATACATGAAAAAACAAGGATATCTATAATAATCCCAATCAAGAGGACCAATTGCAATCTTGCTAAATTCAACTGCACTTGCTTCTATGTCAGCAAATATGTACCCGTTGCTTTTGTCAACCAGCTTCACTAAATTACCTACACTCTCTTTGTCCTGAAAAGGAAATTCCAACATATGATTCTGAACGTTTAAAATTAACAGATGAAAAACCTGGGCCTTTTCATTGTACCTGAATATCTAAAGTTGTAAAATTCACAAGACTGAAGTTTTCAATAACTTCACACAATTCCTTTGTGAGCTTTCTGCAAATATAATAAGATAATTCTAATAAAAACTACTCAGAGTAAAAACAAATGTAAGGATGAAATAGAGAACATAAGAATAAAATCAACCAGAATCTTTAAGTGGGGGTGGGAGGATAAAAACACTTCATTTATTAATCTGATTTGCATAGGCTCCTTATGGAAACATTTATATTTTAAAAGTCGTAGCCAAAATGACAGTCTCTTCCTATCAAAAGCTGTCAGAGAGAATTAATGATCATGTTGTATACTGACAAAACATTTTCCATCCGACCCATTTATACCAGCCTTCACCATCATTTCCAACTTTTCACTTTAATTTGTAGGCTACTATTCAAAATTTACAGTCAGAATAATGACATTTAGGCACTAAACATCAACCAGAAATTGATTCACCCACGCAGCCACATTTCACATCAGGACAACTTGGATCCTAGCACATTATAATCATTAAAAATGAGGCAAATTAACAAATGACCTGATTGCTGCACATTTTTCATTATAAGCTGCTATTATCAAGGGCGCACCCAACATTGAGAAAATACAGAATCCAACTTTACCCAACTTGAGGAGTATTGTCATCTAATGTTTATTTCATATTTTAGACTATTATCTCTCCATCAAGTAGGAAGCTGTTGATGGAAGCACTGAAAGTTAAAATCTGTATCTTTTACCTTTCAGTCTCATGCATTAGATATATGAATACATTGTCATTAATAACAATGAAACTTATCATGCATTATATATATGAATACATTAATAACAATGAAACTTATCGAGAATTCAATATGGCATGGTAGACTCACAAGACAAATAACAAAACACAATGAGGAATACTACATCTTAAGAAAGGAAACAGTTAAAAAGTGTCAACAAAAATTCAGAACATTAAAGTATTATTAGAATCAGAAGCATGGTTAGCAAGCAAAGAATTTCTGCACAACACATCACACCTGTACTTAGCAGAGCGAGGATCCTGATCAAGATGGTGTTGTAAATATGACAAGTCTTGTACGTCTGTATAGAAATCAAGATTAAATCCTGCAACAATCAAATCGTTAAGTCAGCATGAAATCTGTCACCTATAACCAGAATAAAATAAAGCATGCTTAGCCCATGATATCTAAAAGTAATTACCGCACCTAGCCTTCCATAGCTCTCAATTAAATCTATTTTTGACAAGACATTTATGTGGGGGAGTTCTAGATGCAGCATTGTGGATAAGGATAGAAGCAATGCACTGATATACTTCCCAGGGTCGCTGCAAAGATGGGCATCAACCAAATGCACTGCAGTTAACTGCATAGAATAAACATACAAATGAGTTCCTCAAATAACATACGGTTTGACATCAGCAAGATGTAAAGAACAGAAATATACCCTTAGGTTCAATTTCTTTATGAGTTTCATGATGACATTCTTGGCATTTGAATGAAGAAAAAAGAGTTCCACTTGGCCAGGAAAATCAAAGAGTAGGTAGTGATCTGAAATGTTAATACTATTGTCAGGCAACTAGATTATATTAACTGAACAAGGAGAATAGTTGTTTCTAGTCTATTTAAGGATGTTGTCGGAACTTGTAGTTTGTTTGATTATCCAGCAAGTACTGTAGATCTAGAAATTATGGCATAATAATGCACTAACCTTTAAGAAGAGGTTCCAATTTTGCTTGCAACCAGTCAATATTTTTCTCTAGATAATCCATGCAAAACACAAGACCTGTTTGCACAAGACAAGAAAAACTTCAGACTATGCACATGGTAAGGCACGAATCCAATATAAAAGGTGGTGTAGCACATTCAGGGTCCCTTTCATGAGAACCATTGATTTGCATATTGAGTAGCTTGTTAGATTTCTTGTCATATATGCTCTCAAAATCTAGAAAACCATCAGTCTATGCCTACACTTCCAATAGTCTATGTTAGGAACCCAGAAACAGATTCTGAGTTGTCAAAGAAAGAGAGAGGAGAAAAACAGAGAAAGGAAAAGAGAAAGAATACTGTGTATTATTTATTGAATTACAGAGACTTAAGGAAAGAATTATCCTTCCAAGGGTTTCTCCCCTTTCTACAACAGAGCTACTACTCAGTTTCCAAATGATAACAGATCAGAATCCTCCTTCTTTTACCCTCTCCTACTTCAGCTAATTTCCTACCTCTAAGAACTTTAACTGCCAAAACAAAATAACTATTCTAACTAACAACTCTCTCGCCCTATCTGTCCATCACATGGTACTACTGGTTAAAAGACATTAAAACACAGAAATTTCATAAAAAATAAATAAATAAAACTTCAAAGAAAAAAGGAATAGGCTTACCCCCATTTGGACCAAGAGAATGTTCCACCATTACATCACTAAGTTTCACGAGATCCTCGATGTTCACAGCACATTCATAGCTATATTTTATATTAGGGGAAACCAAGTTGAACTATACAACTAGAAAGTGACACATCTGAGAATAACAATGTTCGAAAGAGATAGAGGGAAGGATACGGTAATGAATCATTAGCAGGATCCAAATTGATAACAGCAACCTTCCTGCATTCCAAAAGCAAACTATATAAGACAAATACAATACACAGATTAGTAGAAAACCTGAAATTCACATAATAACATATTTTAACTTACCTCCCCCTAAAGAGTCAGGCTTACCTTCCAATAAGATTGAGGAACTGAGACATGCCATTGCAGTAAGTTGTTTTGCCAGAGCCAGGAGGACCGACTACTACTTGCCCAAACACCATCTTCCTTCCTTCCCTCCAATTTTATGTTATTTCCCTGAACAAAACCAAGTGAAATTAAACCTTGTATTATCTTGAGAGCTTTGAGGTTCCATTTTGCAACCGTTCTCGAAGGGCAAAATTGAAAAACACCTTAAAAGTTTGAAAAACCAGTATACGAAAACAAAGTTAGGGCCAAGAGTCTATTTATACATAAAGAACGGTGGAAATTAAATCTCATTTCACCGTTGAACATCCATCAAAAGATGATTTCCCTAAAATTAATTGGGCAAATTATAATACCTTAAACATATCTATTTATAATAAACATATTCTTAAGATTAAATTCAAACAGCTTCTTCTGAGGTCATCAAAATCCAAGGATGAAACATAAATACGAGCAACAGACTCAACCAAACAGCTGGGCATTTTATCAAACAATCTACGTGCAAACAGGTAAAGACAGTAAAATGAAACAAAAGTTATGAACCAGAATACCTTAACCTCAGCACCAGAAATTATGACCATGAATAAATGAATGTGTATCTCCAAACCTCTTAACCTCAGGTAAAATGCAAAGTTCCTTTTAAAATTTGCAATTCAGACAGCAAATGTAAAATCCAACAATCCTCTTAAACTTGACATAGACAATTGGGATTACCTGACGGAATATTAATCTCTTCGCTTGGATAGTCGTTGGTTCTGTTCTGGGGCTTGGACTCACCCTCCTACTCTTCTCTGCAGTTATAGCTTAAGCTCTCTATACACACACACCAAAAAAAAATGGGGGGCTTTCTACTTTGTAGACATCAAATCAAAATATTAAAAACAATTGGGGCATTCCGAGAATCGAACTCGGGACCTCTCGCACCCAAAGCGAGAATCATACCACTAGACCAAATGCCCTCGTTATTGCATGTTTTAAAAATAAAAATAAATCAATCTAAACAATAATCTAATGACACTGTAGTGAAACGATGTAATCATGTAATGCACCGAGCACGTGTCTTGAATTGTTAAACCTGTGTGAGTTAAGTATATATAGTGTGAGGGTACGTGTTCAATTCTCATGTAATGCAACAAAAAAAAAAAACCCTGATTCAAGATGAAGAGAGTGGGACAGTAATATATTAATTGCAAGCTGTCATCATAATTGAAGTGCTACGGAAGATCGCAATAACCATTGCATCCACCAAACCCATCATTGCAGTTGCTGGTTCTATATGCTAAATTACACACACCGGCATTGATCTCTAAACTCTTTATAAATATTGGCATCTCACTTTCGTTCACACTTTAAAATAAAAGAAACAAAATTCCCCAACCCAATGGTAATTGGTAAAAGACATTTACTCCTCTACGCCCAACTCCACAATAGTAAATGGTAAAAATGAAAATAAATCAAACATAATTGTCATATGAAATAGTTTTAATCATTAGATCAACAATAATGATTTTGAAATTTTTTATTCGTATATTTTTTTTTTCTCTCTTCTCTTGTTACTATTCATTTGTCTTTATATGATTGAGATTCTTTTCTATTACATGATGAATATACAAGAAAACTTAATCCATCCCTTGTAACTCAAGAAAATATGTGCTACTATTTCAAAAGTGAGACTAGATAATGAAAGCAAGCCAGCTGGATGTTGAATGATGCAGTTGCCATTTCAGGCCATGGAACCCCACATTATAAAGTAAATGTAATGCGTATTGATTAAACCAATGTATCTCATCAGAGAATGCGATTGCTCACTCGGATTCAAGATTCAATAGAGATCTTTTATAATTAATAAAAAGTAACCAGAATTTATAGTAATTAAGGACATAGTTGGAGACCTTACTTGCTATTTGAATAATTCAATTCAAGGATAAAATAACAGGTAGAAAGGACTTTACAAAATATTTAAGGTCAAACGCCAGTGAATTATTGTGGGTAGGGTCATGGTGTATTGGTGTCCACCTATCTTATATACAAAAGTATGATTCTCTATCTTCCAAACTACATAAAATAATAATCAATTCAATTTCAACCATGATATTAATATTATACAGCAGTCACAAAAGGGGGCTTCTATTTTTTGAATTTAGAAGTTTACGTACTTCACTAAAAAATTTAACTTCGTAATTTTGTTGCGAGCATGTTATTCTGCTTCATTTATCTTAACAGTTGACATTAGAAACATTAAAAATATCAGGAAGAAAACGGTAGTTAGGTGCTTAAATTTTGGACAAAATGATTATCATTGTGTCAGTGATTCCATGAAAATTTTGCTTTTGTGTCCGCTCCGCAATCTCCTGCTGTCCACGTTTCACTGTCCCCTTTTTCCTTATCTCCTATTCATTGTTCTGCTCTTTTCCCTTTAGTGATAACCATAGAGCCTAGACTCTCAGAAACAGAAGATCATATACATAAACACTCACACACAGAGAGATCACAGCCTGCTTGCACCTTAATTATGGCATTTGCAGGAACAACCCAGAAGTGCATGGCTTGTGACAAAACAGTTTATCTGGTTGATAAGTTGACTGCGGATAACCGAGTGTACCACAAAGCTTGCTTCAGATGCCACCACTGCAAAGGAACTCTTAAGGTCTCTCACTCTCTCTGTCTCTCTTTTATAGGGTCTTGGATTTGTATATATAATATTATATAGTCTCGTTTAGGCTTCTATCCTTGGATCTGGTGTCTGCAGTTGACCATTAATATTAGCACTTGCTTTAATTAATTATTCTGCGTTTTTAAAATTAAGCATTTTCATCCCAAGACACTTTCTATCAGAACTCTTTTCTGTTCCTCACATTAATATAATTTCCATGTTTCTGGTCATTTCTCTTAATTTTCGTTCTCAGAATTCATCAGGATTTCATGGTACCGAATTATAAGCCAGCTAAATTAAAAGTGAAAAACCATGTACCAAACAAACCTCAGAACACAAGAATCCATCCAAATATTGGAAAGTCTATCTGTTACTCTCATTGTTGTTCTTTTTTTTTTTCTTTTTTTTCCTTTTTTAAGGTGGATGAATCTAATTCTGTCCCCTCCCTTTTACTGCTTTTCCACTTCCACAGATGAAATTGATTTTGCAATCTTTAGCTTTGGTTGATAAGGTTCCTAATATGTTCCATGATTTTCAATAACCGGCAAATAATATTAGAACCTCTTTGCCTTCTGGTGTGTTAAGGCTTGTAACGAGATTTAATTTTTATAAAGAAGTTTACTGACAGATTAATGTATCTGCAGCTTAGCAACTATAACTCTTTTGAGGGAGTTCTTTACTGCAAGCCACATTTTGACCAACTCTTCAAAAGAACTGGTAGCCTTGACAAAAGCTTCGAAGGTAACAAATGATCGAAAGTTGAATCATTCAACGCCTCACCATATTTTTCTTCTTGGTGACTCATCTTTACTTCCTTTTGGTTCATTAGGGACACCAAAGATTGCTAAACCAGAAAAAACCAGCGATATTGAGGTAATCAATCCTAAATATAGATGTTTGCCAATGCACAACAAAAAGATTGAGTTTTCTAGCGTTTATCTAATTTTTGAGCTGTTTTAATCAGAAACCTGCAGCAACCAAAGTCTCAAGTATGTTTGGGGGAACCAGAGATAAATGTGCTGGTTGTCAGAAAACAGTCTATCCAACTGAAAAGGTAACAACACAACCATAACTTTTGTCCATTATCACATCCATTGGCACTCAATTCACCATCCTTCTCTAGCCCAAAACCTTGATGCTAAGTACGGAAATTTTCATTTTGCTTGAGAAAGGAATATTAAGTTTTATTACTATACGAATGAAATGAGTTTTTTGTACTGATATAGGTTACTGTGAATGGAACTCCTTATCACAAGAGTTGTTTCAAATGCACTCATGGAGGGTGTGTTATCAGTCCCTCCAATTACATTGCACACGAGGGCAAACTCTACTGCAAACACCACCATATCCAACTGATCAAGGAGAAGGGCAATTTAAGCCAGCTTGAAGGTGATCATGAGAAGAGTGCAATGCATGAGAAAATCAATGGTGAAGTAGTTGCAGCTGATACATGAAATGCTTGAGTTTGACATAAGAGTCTGAGAATATTCCCTCCCTTTAGTTTCATATTTTTGCACCATATGTTTATGCTCTCTCTCCTGCTTTACCATCACTTGGAGTCCAAAAAGCTCTTACTTTGCTCGTGACAAATGTGGTCCTTTTTCTTTCTTTCTTTCTTTTTTTTTTTTCCTGGTTGCGGTGTGTGGATCTCCATCATTTGTTTTCTGTTGTTGTGAGGTTGTGGATACTATTTTTTATTATCAAAATAATGTTCATATAATGTTATCATTAATTTGTTAACTCTCAAAAATAACTTTTCATAACTTGGTTTTCTGAGGGGTATTATTAATTCGCTTATTGTTAAGCCCATTTGCTACTTTGTTAATGAACTTATTAAGTTGCACTTTCATTTGGCTTAAATTGAAACCAGGAACAGAGAAAAACAAAGAAAAATTCCTCAATGAATTTATTGTGAGTTGCATTTCTGTGGAAGCATAATCTATGTATCTCCTCAAACATGGCGAGTATTTTTTAGATCACAAGCTTCGTTGTTGCTTCTATTGTCTGTTTTCACACATCAATATCCGGTATATAAAACCCTATGTGCCTAAGTGACATGTCGACGAAACACTTCAAGAAAGTTTCAACTTTTTCCCCTGATGCTGTCCTTCCCCTGATGCTGTCCTTCCCCTGATCCACGTTCTCCTGAACAATTAATAGAAATTAGAATGTAAATAATAAGTGACTTACCTCATACAAAAGGAGAACACCAATGACAGATAAGCACGCCCATTTCTTCATGATGGACTAATTAGTTGAGCTTCACCCCCATTTATAGTTTGCCAAATACTCTACTTTTATACTTCTTTTTTCAATGTATATGAACTAACTTGGCCACAAACATAGTATATGTTAACCACATTTGTTTCGATTATAACGACAACGAATTAGTTATGTCAATCTCTCACACGATCACATCAATTTATAACCACCTTGCGCTCCTGTTGTAGATTTTCTTTTCCTCACTGCTACTGTTTAAAAAGGAATGGGAAACATGCAAACCAAAGTATGTTGAGATACACCATCCCAAAAGCTAGTTCAAACGATAGGAGTGCCTATGTTGAGATATATAGTCCCACATTGGTTAGATGTGCAACTAATGTGGATTTTATAAGGCCTTGGGCACTCTCACCCTTTGAGCTAGCTTTTGGAGTGGTGTATTCCAAGGTTCTATGAAAGCTTGATCCCTCACCGCCTCCCAGCTTTAAAAGCCAAAAACTGGGCCTGTGTAATTCTACCCTTCTAGCCCAAAGGTCTCTTGCGTGAGGGGGCGTGTTGAGATATATAGTCTCACATTGGTTAGATGTGCAACTAATGTGGCCTTTATAAGGCCTTGGACACTCTCACCCTTTGAGCTAGCTTTTGGAGTGGTGTATCTCAAGGTTCTTCACAAAGTATACAAAGGTTTTAAATTTGTAAATAGGAAGAATTAAGAAAAAATTCTGATTTCTAATTGGTATCTATCTAAGTTGGTGGTTGCTTCAAAGGGTGCTACGATTTAACTTCCTTTCTTTTTGTGCATTCTAGGTCGTTATTAACTCACCTGCAAGAACTGCATCACAACAAGGCTCTGATGACAAGAAATGGAAAATTAATTTCTTATCAACCCACAACAAATATTATTGACTCTTTTCATATAACCTTTGGAAGCCTACATAACCACACAAGCATAATCGATGTGATCTCAAAAAGATAATCTCCAAATTTGTGTTTACTTACCCTTTACTTTTTAACCTACAATCCAACACTTGGAACAATATAACATTTTAATTTTTCTGTTGATTCTTGATTAATTCATTTTGTTATTTAGTTTTGAAAGTGCTCTCCAGCCGTATAATACTTGGCCCTTTCTGTGTATGCTATTAAAAAAAAAAAAAATGAACCAACGGTTGACTTTGTCTAAGTCTGCTCTTGGGGAAAAAATAAATAAAAAGGGGCTGGAGATAGCCATTGTAGATAACTTCCTATCCATGGAATTTGTTGACTATTTATATTTATATTTAAGTGTTGCGTTATTTTTTTGGATATATTTTTATTTTTATTTAAATCAGGCTTGTTAGTTTATTTAAAGCTATTAAATATTTAATAATTAAAAAAATAATTAAAATAATATTATTTTATTATTCAAAATTATTAAAATAATTTTTTATTTATTTTATTTAAAAAAAATAATATGATGTAAACCGCTATTTTATTTGAACAATTAGCTCATTTATATGCCAGAGGCAGACAATGGATAAGAAGGGTCTCTGTTACTTTTTCTGCTTTAGATTAGCTCATTTTTAATATTTTGTATTAAAAACACAACTATAAAATTGAGTTTTATTAGTATCATGTTAAATAACCCAATAAAAGTGAGGTCCACATATTTTTTTTTCTTTTACATCATATTCCACTTTCTCTCTGGGGTAGGAAAAAATTTTCTTATATCCTACGATATTGTATTCATAAAACCCTATAAAATTAATCTAAAGAATCACTTCGATTTCCTTTCTAGTTATAATTTCATGTGTTGTGTTTCAAGCCTTGTTAATTAGTACCGCACGGGATATGTACATATTGTAAGCGCAAAGCCTTATAACCATGGATAAGTACATATTGAAGGAAACTTTAGGAAACTATACTTGATCCATATATAATACTATATACAGATATATGTATACCATATAACAAGTTACTCTTACCAGAACTAAAGTACATTAATAAATATTTCAAACATTAAAACTTAAATGAGACGCTTGTGTGGCACGAGTGTGGAACTTCCATGAGAAGAGGTAGTCCCTGGATTGACATGATAATCTGATAACATCACAGAAAGCATTGACAGAGCTAATCTTGTGGTCAGTTTTCCAATCTATCCTCACACTGCATGAAAACCCATTTGATGAAATTGGTATACTTGAATCACGAAGATGTAGTGTTACCTCCCCACTTATCCTTGTGCACGAGCCACATCTAAGCCTTCCATCACTTTTAACCATGGATTCAAGCCATGTACATTCTGGCTGACCCACCATCTCCTTGTATGCAGAATTAGCCATCCTAACTTTGTTATTAGAATCTGATATGACAGCTGGCAATGGCTCAGACTCAACCTCTTCCTCCACCTCCTCTGGTCTTTTGGGTGCATGAGCAACGAGTGGCATGCTAGAAGCTTCATTGATGCAACCAACGTTTATGCATGAGCCAACAGGTCGAACTGGCTGAGGTGCTATAACGTTGCTGATATGTGATACTTGTAATTTCTGCAAAAGATCCTTCTCTTCTGGAACATCTGTCATGATAACCTCTTCTATGCCAAGTTTCATGAAGTCAAGTTCGGTGACGATGGGATGATGAGGGGAAGGAGAACATGGAAGAAGTGGAAGTGTTACTAAGCTTGGAGTGTTACCAAGAACCCCATTGTTAGGAAGAGAAAGTTGAGGAAGGGCAGGAGCGAAACTCTGTAAAGAAAGGTTCTTTGTTGGAGATGTTACATGACAAGGGGAACAAAATCCTAAGACATGGGGTTTTTGTCTCTTGAAGGAAACTGGTGGTGCTATTGGAGCTCTGCCTCTCTTTCTGGTCCTGGTGGGCCTGGACAACCAGAGATTCCTAAGGTAAGGAGATTGATTGATTTTTTGTGAGAGGGAAGAAGAGCCCTCATTTGTGGAATTCGAAGGAGTCTCAGGCTTTGGTGCTATGGGTCTGTATTTGGACATGATTTCAGCAGTTTTTGCTGGATTGGGGTGAGGATCTAAGGTCTTGATCATGGTTGCTCCCTTTCAGCTTGTGACTTAATTAGAGAGGGAAGCAAATGGTGAAGATCCTTGGAGAAGCAACTAATGTTGATGACACAATGATGGGAGATTATAAAGGAAGGGTTGGGCTGGGAATGGTAAGAGTGGGGAGGGAGTTGTGGATTACAGTGTGTCTGGTGTAGTCTATGTCTATGGGTGGTGAAGGGGAATGAATTTTGTTTGGTGGGTTTTGAGTTTGAGAAACAGCCAATGAGGGATGGGCAACATGAAGCAAAAGGGTAAGAGAAAGTGACACATTTGTAGATGTACTGAGGTACGTGTTGGCTTGCCTCATGAATGTGGACAATGCGAATTGGGCAGTACCAGTGGATCCATGCATGCTTACACATGGTAGTAATATTTATTATTTGTTATTCATATAATTAGATGGTAAATAAATACACAGGGGTTGTAAATACTAAATACATATGTAGAGGTTGTATGGGCATTTGAGTCATTTTCAATAGTTTGTAGCAGGCTAATTATAAAGAGGAGAAAGGACATGTCGTGCCAATCAGGCACTGGCTGCGTTCTCGTACTAAAAGGGTCTCTCATTACAACGCGTGGTGTAGAGCAACAAGCATGAAAGGTGAAAACAATTATTAGGATTGGTTTGGTATTTTTACCTTTAGTCCGCCAAATAGTGAGTCAGGGACCTTTTCCAGTCGGTAACATTTGTTTGCTACGCAGGTGTCTCATCCATACCAAACCATTGCATGCAATATGGATTAGCTAGATAGAATCCGATTACGGTGTGAATGTTGTGCGCTCATCCTGAAGCACAGTGGGACCCCAATAGCCACACGTGGTCTGGCCAATAATTACCCATGCATGATGCATGATTCATGATTCATAAATGATCAATAATTACTCAAGCTCAAGTTTCCCTTCCTCTGTGATGAACTTGCATATATATTAAGATTGGTATTAGCCTATTAGGCCTGTGCTTTTGCTGTTCTGTTGCTAAGCCATGTGGGTGAGTTAATTAAACTATTGAATGCTTAGAGCCCGTATGTATAGCAAGATGTACTCTTGATCTTCATTCTGTTTCGTAAATTTAAGGAGCTTCAACAAACTGCCTCATGTGCATTACGTTGACTTTCACGTCAGGTTGCTGCTTGATTGTGTCTTATACTTGAAAAATGGATTGCAAAATAATACTCATGTCAGTATGAGAGAACAACTTTCGCCGCATATTGACACATCTAGAATTCCATCTAACAAAAAAAAACACCACCCAAAAGTTAGCTCAAAGGGTGAAAGTGCACAAGGCTCTGTAAACTCTACATTAGTTGAGCGTAGAATTGCACATGTCCAATTTTTGGTTTTTTCTTTTTGTGCTTTTTATTTTTATTTCACTTTAAAGTGGGGGACGGTGAAATTTTTGGTTTACCTTTTTGTGCTTTTTATTTTAATTTCACTTCAAAGTGGGGGACGGTGATGATTTTTGTGCTTTTTATTTTAATTCCACTTTAAAGTGGGGGACGGTGAGGATTTACTCAAGCTCTGATACCATGTAAAGAAGTAAAGAACCCATCACGCAAGAGCCCTTTGGGCTAGAAGCATGGAATTGCGCAGGCCAAATTTAAGTTCTGATACCATGTAAAAAACCTTGGGATACAAGCTAGCTCAAAGAGTCAAAGGGTGGGGGGTGGGAGTGCATGTAAAGAACCTTGGGATACACTACTCCAAAAGCTAGCTCAAATGGTGGGAGTGCACAAAGCCTTATAAACTCTACATTAGGTGCACATACAACCAACGTGGGACATAATATCTCAACATCATGTGATATCAACGCTCGTAGTTCAGTATATTTCTACCTTTTTTATTATAGCCGTTCAATATATTTCTTTATTTACAATCAAATATCATAATATGTCACACATCAATTATAATATTAAAAATATAGTTGAAAAGAAAATGAAAATAATAATAATAATTCATATAACTCAAATAATATATATTTAATTTTATTTTTTTTATTTCCAAAACACTAAGAATCTCCTTGCACTTGTACATTTATATAAATTTTGGCATCCTAAAAAGATTGGATACTCTTTTATTATATTCTTATGCTATGTAGCACCGATACGACACGCGACACGTGACACGACATTCCGACACGTCAATCCTAAAAAAATATGGGCTCTGTTTGATTGTTGTTTTTAAAAACAGTTTTTTAGTTTTCAGAACAAAAAAATTAAAAAATTCGTTTGATAAGGCCAGTTTTGTAAAAAATTATAACTATTTTTTTGTTTTTAGAATCAAATTTAGAGAACATGTCTGAGTTGTTTTTGTTTTCTGTTTTGATTTTTAACTTTCAAAAATAAATAAATATAGAAAACAACTGTTTCCATAACTATTTTACAAAACAGTTTTAAAAACAAAAAAACCAGAACACAATCAAACAGGCTCATGGATTTCGACACGTTGTGACACGTTTTAATATTAAATAATATTTTTAATTTATATAGCGTATATTTCATTTAACATTCAATAATTTAACAAAAAAATAAAATCAAATTAATAATACCCATCAACACGTTATAAAGGTGGAAGATTTAATAAAAAAAAAAAGGAACTGGAATGAGAGAGAGATAATATCAGATAGAGAGATCAAATCATATTAGAGAGAGATTTGAGAGAAGGAGATACAACAAGAGCGTAATAGGAATTGACAACGATGATGCTGAGATGATCTCTTGTCTACTTAAGGGGGAAAAAAATTGATATGATCAGGTGGAAGCTTTATTAATATATTTTAATTTAAAAAAAATTACAAAAATGTCATTTGACCGTGTCGGAGCGTGTCGAACACAGTCAAATTCGCGTGTCGAAATGGTCAACGTGTCGGGAATGTTGACTGCGTGTCGAAAACCGTGTCGGGGCGTGTCGGAACGTGTCGGACACGACACTCCCTATTTTTTGGAGTGTCCGTGCTTCCTTGTTCTTGTGTATAGAGCCTTAGACGATAAGTTTTTTTTTAGTTACGAGACCCACAAATCTTTAAAGTTGGTTATCATCTAAGGGGGTGTTTGGTTGAAGAGAAATTTGTATGAATAATAGGGAAATGAGATTACTAGGGAAATGGTTGGGAAGTGAGTTTGATAGGAAAAGGTAAAAAAAGTAGTTTGGTAAGAAAAAAATTTACCGGGAAAATTAGGTAACTTTTGTAAAGTCTATGTTTGGCTTTTGATAAAATATAGATGGGAAAAAAATATGCTTTTACTAAAATAACCTTGATTTTAAAAAAGGCTGAATCAGCCTTGCTACCCTTTACCCCTAATCATTTCCCAACGGACATAGAAGAAACGTGTGTGTTGGCTGATTGTAAACAGTGGTTTACTTGGGTTTTCAAAAAAAAACACCTACAAAAAGTCTTTCTAAACAGTCCAGAAACCTATCTTTCTAAGACAAAGTTGAAAAAGCAATGCAAATGGATGGATGGGGATTTTGTGTTAATCTGCTGAACCAAACATTAGCTTTCTGGAAACCTTACTTCATTTGCATAGGAAAATTTTGGAAAGCCGTAAACCAAACACCACCTAAAGGACGAAAGGTTTGAATGCGTCCAGTAAGATTTTTGACCAAACAAATATATATATTTTAAAAAAATATTTTTTAATTTATTTTTAAAAATTATTTCAAATTAATGTGATCATGAGTCATGACCGTATGGAAAAGTTCCACACATCAACAAATGTGCAATTTAAGATGTGTGTGACAACCATTCTATTCCCTAGCACTGTTTCTGAAAAGAAGCAATTCTTTTCTATTTTTATTCCATGGAACAGTTTCTGAGAAAAAATGTGTTTGATAACATGTTCTATTTTTATTCTGAGAATGAGAATTGTGTTTGATAACACAACAAATAATATAATAAAAAATTATTATTATTATTTTTTTTTATAACAAAAAAAATTATTATTAAATATAAAAAAATTCGGATCATTACTTTCCTTTCCACATGGTGTGGTTGTGGTGGTGGCGGCGGCGGCGGCGGTACGGTAGTGGTGGTGGCAGTGACGTGGTGAAGATAATGGTGGTGGTTGTGACGACAGTGGATACGGCGATGGCGGTGGTAATGGTGGCGGCGACGGCAGTAGTGGTGGGAATGGTGGTGGTGGAGGTGACGGCAGTGGGTGCGACAATGGTGGTGGGTATGGTGGTTGGTGGCGGTAACAATGGTAGCAGTGGCATGGTGGTGGTGATGGTGGTTGCGAAGGCATCATGGTGGTGGTGGTGGCAGTGGCTGCGGCGGCGGTGGTGGTGATAGGTGACAGTGATGGTGGCTGTAGTGGTGGCAATGGCGTTGTAATGGTAGTGGCGGGGGAGGTGTAATGGTGGTGGTGGTTGATGGCGGTAGCAGCGACGACGGTGGTGGTGACGATAGTGGCTGCGCAATAGTAATGGTGGTTGGTGATGTGGTGGTGATGGTAGTGGTGGCGTTGTGGTGGTGGTAGTGATGACGATGGGAGTGGTGGCAGTGGCGTGTGATGACGATGGTGACGGCAGTAGTTGCGATGTTGGTGGTGGTGGTTGATGGCGGTAGTGGTGATGGTGGTGGTGACATTGATAGTGGTGGTGGCAGTGGCGGCGGCAGTAGTTGTGGAGGTGGCGATGGTGGTAGTTGTGGTGATGATAGGTGGAGGTGGTGGTGGCATCATGGTGGTGATGGGTGGTGACGATGACACTAGTGGTACGATGGTGGAGAGTGATTGAGAGAGATAAGTGTTTCTCATTTTGTGTCCAGAAACAAAAAAACAGAAATTTTTTGATTCTTTTTTCTGTTCCCCAGCACAAAAATTAAACCGGTTCATCCCGGGAACAAAAAAATAAATCAGTTTTACCAAACGAGTTTCCTATCTATTTTTGTTCCCAGGAACAGAAATTAAAAAAGAATTGATTCCGAGAAGGTTGTCATGCACACCCATAATATCATCCTATTAATCCCGTACGTTGACTATATAATA